GAAGTGTATAACGTCGAACGAAAGAAAAACATACAAGACACGGTGAAAACACAAAACTCACATGTCCTTATTAACAGTCTGAGGTCAGAGCCAGCAAACACATCCAACAGAGGTGATCCAAAATACGTAGTCCAGAGGGAAGTCCGATATCATACACTGTGGCAGTCTGAGACAAGAGGGCAAAGCAGAAACGAATATACCAAGGTAACAGTCCGGGTCAGAAACACAAGATACAAAACCGAAGGAAAGCTGGAGAGTCAGAGCTGCGGTCTAGAACAATCTGGCAGCGCCGTTGTGGGAGGACGCTGCCTAAATAGAGGTATAAACAATAAGGAGCAGGCGAAACTAATGCGAGTGATGAAGAACGTAAAAAGACCGAAACTAAGGTGAAAACAAAAACAGGAAGCAACGTCAAAATAAAAGCTGGACCGAATCATGACACATAGCCTGTTAATAGAGAGAGGTTAATCAGATCTAGTATGGATGTGTTGATTAGGGGAAAGATGTCTTTGAGCAGCCTGGTCGGGATGGGGTCCAGGAGACATGTTGATGATTTAGATGAAGCAATTGTTGAGGTCAACTCAGAGAGATCTATAGGGGAGAAGTAGTCCAAGTATAAATGAGGTCTTACAGATGTTTCTAAAGCCATTGTAGTAGATGGCACATCTGCGAGAGCTGTGGGAGTGGTCCGACCAATTTTTTCTCTAATAGTTGTGATTTTATTTGTAAAGAAGCTCATGAAGTCATTGGTGCTGAGATCTAAGGGAATGTTAAGCTCAACAGCACTGTGGCTGTGGTAAGTGCATTTACATTTGCACTTTGAGAATTTTCATTATCTGCAACTTCAAACTTTGACTTCACTACATTTTAATCACAAAAGTTGTACTTTTTACTCCACTACCTTTATTTGTTAGCTTTAATTACTTTCCAGAATCAGATTAAAAATAGAAAATAATGAAATCGTAAGACTTAATTGTTCATTAATGGTAAATTCACAAGCTACACAGCAGTAATTCAGATTATAAGCATATAAAGTAGTTAACATTAGGTCCACATCTACAAACAGCAACATTTAATGTGATAAACACAGTAATACATCAATAATTATAATCTAATAATATGATACACATGTATGTGAAATTTACCATTCTCCACAATTGGTACTTTTATTTTTTGTGCTTTATTTTGATGCTAACACTTTTGTAGTTTTATTTAAGTAGCATTTTGAATGCAGAACCTTTACTGTGATATTTCTGGTTTTACTCAAGTAATCAATCTGTGTACTTCTTCCACCACTGGAAAATGCTAAGTGCAGAGAGGGACCAATTAAACATTTGCCACAAGTGTGCCATGTTTGGACACTCATGAGGACAACAACTAAGAGTCAGATATGATGATGTGGCTGGTGCACACCTTGCTTAGAGACCCCAAGAGGTAAACTACATCCTGTTCTGTGTAGGCCACAATTGGCTACAAGCATGTGCTTCTTCACAGCTGATAAGATCACAAGAAATTCTATTTATGACACCCATTAAAATATGTCATCTACAGCCTTAAAACTAAGATTTGGTTAAAAGTAACTAGAATATTTAATTCTGTTTTGACACACAACCTGACAGATTTAGAGTAAGAGCTCATTCATTATAGTAAATAACTGGAAGAGGTGCATCACACAGTTAATGAGTCAAACAGCTCTTGGGTAAAGCTCTCAGACACATTAAAGTCAGAAGAGGCTTGGCAGAAGATAAAGTATAATATATTTAAAAGGTTGGAATAATTTCCCTTTGCTACATGTAATCCTGGTGCTTTCACTGCAGGAAAGCAGTTGTGCAAATGTTATGCTGAGATATCAATATAGGCATAATACACTAGTAAAGCTTAACAAGCAAAAGGTGTTAAGTTTTCTGCAAGCATGCCATAGTTGAAATATTATCAGCAAGTCAACTTTCACAGCTGATTTTGGCTCGCTCCCTACTATGACCGGGAGACCTCTCCAGCTCTAGGATTACATGCCACACGAGAGGCTGCCAAATGGCTTCCTGAAGCAATGCAATAGTAATGACATGCTGCCAGGACACGTGGCTACACATGAATGTTATCCTAAATATGTGGTGTTATATTTCAAAATCAGGCAGGAAATTCACTCAGGAGGTTGCCTTTATTTATCTTTTTCCAGTAAGGGTCCTGTGTTCAAGGAATGACATTCTAGTGATGGACAAAACAAAAAGCATGGTACAACTAGCAGAAAATACTAGTTGGTCCCTATAAATACAGCACGGTGTACAAGTCCTTCCAAATGTACAAGATATGTTACAGTTAAGTTTCACAACATGAACAGTGGACATACAAAAACAGTTTAGATGATTTTCTTAAACTCGTCATATAAGACGAGCACAAAGGCGCCACCCATGCCTCGGAGCACGTTAGACCATGCTCCTTTGAAGAAGGCCCTGCCGCCCTCATCACGTGCAATCTTCCTCCAGCAGTCAATGGTGCCGGTGTACATGATGTCAGCTGAGGGGAAAGACAGAATTACACCTTTATTCTAACACAGGTGCAAAAAAACAAAGTTGTAATTTGATTTATCTTTATTACCTCCTTTGCGTCCAGACTGCATCATCATACGACGACGGACAGTGTCGAAGGGGTAGGACGCAAACCCAGCAACTGCAGTCACAGTCTGAGCAATCATCCAGCTGACAATAATGTGTGCGTTCTTGGGATCTGGGAGCATGCCTGTATGAGAAATGTCAATCAAGAGCTTTAACTCAAGTCTCAAGGGCAGAAAATCCTCTGAGTAAGGAGACAACAAGCCTTGCAATGCTTGATAATGAAAACTTACCCTTTGCTGTGTCATAGACGCCAAAGTAAGCAGCCCTGTAGATGATAATACCCTGTACTGATACATTGAAGCCTTGGTACAGACCCCTGATGCCATCAGATTTGGTGATCTTCACCAAGCAGTTTCCCAGGCCGCTGAATTGACGCTCAGCTCCAGCTTTGCCAACATCAGCAGCCAGACGCGTTCTGGCAAAGTCGAGAGGGTAGACAAAACACAGAGATGTGGCTCCAGCAGCGCCACCAGATGCCAGGTTGCCAGCAAAGTATCTCCAGAACTGTGTGCGCTTGTCTACGCCGTCAAGGAAAACCTTCTTGTACTTGTCCTTGAAAGCAAAGTTGAGGGCCTGAGTAGGGAAGTATCTGATGACGTTGGCCAGATTTCCTCTCCAGAACGAGATGAAGCCCTGCTCTTTAGGTATACGGACAACGCAGTCAATGATGCCCTTGTACTGCTTGTCAACTGCAATCTGCTGGCTTGCATGTTGTACCTGTAATTAAATCAGAGATACCACAGTGCATTAGTGACAATCAAACGAGAAACAGCAGATCAGGTTTGACAGCCTGTTTCTTCATTCTGCCAAACATGAGCATGAATGACCATCTACCTTTAACCTGTTAACCTTGTATGATTTAATTTAGTACAGTTTAATGTGATCATTATTCTTTCATTAATAATTGAATAACTTGTAAAGCTGCTGAGGGCATAAATTCCTATGATTCTCACGTGTCAGACACTGTGCTGGTACAACTCTTTATGACGTCCATTCAACATTTCACAGCCCCGCCTCCTGCTGCTGCTGCTGCCACCGAGCCTATGCAGGCCCAATGCAGGCCCAATGCAGCAGTGTACAGCCATGGCGCAAACCTTGCTGTGACCTTGGCGGATCATTGTCAAGACAAACTAAAGGCCTGTCATGGAAAATGAGCACTTCTGAACACCACATACACAGTAGATGCTCATGTCTAGATTTTATAAGTTGTTTGAATGGGAGGACTGCCGCATGCTGCCCGGTGTATTACGTAACACGTCTGATACGCCTAGATAATGCTCATTTCTCATATGTGCCTGCACCATCTCAGACAGAGCTGCGCTGATTTCATATTTTTAGACTCCAGTTTCTGCTGGCAGAAATCTTTACATTATCATAAAATCTCGTTAGCTACATTTTTATATAGCCACCGTCCTCCCCTCGGGTTTTAAAAGAACAGCAAAAACTATTGCTATTTAACATCACCAGTTTTGTCCTGGAGAAATGCACAAAAAAGCATATAATTACAAGCTATAATTAACTGAAGTGTCATTACATTTTTTGATGCTTACAAATCACATAATACCACTCGCCTGGAGGAGAAGCTTGACTCTTTCGATGGGGGCTACAGCTGTTTTGGAGATGGCAGCGGCAACACCACCAGCCAAGAAGTCCTTGGCGAAGGAAATAGCTTGTTCAGTCATATTCCGGTGTTTTCACTCGCGTCCCGCTACTTGTTCGCTGTTGTTTGCCGGTGCAATTGAAATGGCCGAATCCAACGTAGAGGTGAGGGGATTTAAGCAGACTGAACGCGAGAAAAAACGTGAACTTCGATGCTCGTTTCTCATTGGTCTGCTGAGGTTGGTGGGTGGGGCTACGCGGTATCCTTGGATTCTGATTTGGTCCTCTCCCTCGTCACTCAAGTAATTCTCAGCAGCCCAAGGCGTTATCTCTCCAACAAGAAGCAAAGTTTAACCGCTTTAACTAAAGTTGATCGGTTATTCTTATTGATTCACATCGCAGCAGTAGACAGGGGATACCTATGTGTTGGTAAATTAAGTTTATTGGCTCAAGGTCGTGTCAAATATCAGTTTGAAGCAGGTGAGGCCTAAGCACTACGGTGGCTAAAGGTCATTCTATCTGTTAATGTCCTTTGACTGTACTCCTTTTTCCACAGTATGGAGCAGGAGGACATGATTCAATCAGCTGACTGATTCCAGGCTAAACCTGTGTCAGCAAACTGAGCCAGCCTTTGAAATGTTGTGACCATTTTATCCATTCTTATTAACTTAATACAAGGTTGGCGTGATCAACATCTTAACAAATGCATGTTATTCCTGTTTTCGTAATATGGCACTAGACATAACATGATCAGAAACAAGCAGTGGTCAAAGAAGTTCTCAGATCATTTACTTAAGTAAAAATATGAATACAACAGCATAGAGTCCTGCATTCAAACTTTTACTTAAATAAAAGTACAATAGAATTAGCATCAAAAACATCCTTAAAAGTACTGAAAGGCCCATTTCAGAATAATATTTATATTATTTGATTATAATGACTGTTTCGTTAATCTGTTCTTCATTTTAATGTTGCAGCTGGAAAAGGTGAAGCTAATTGTAATGACTTTGCTGTGCATTGGTGAATTACTCCTGTAATCAATAAAGTCTGTTCTTACTATGTAAGAATGCATCATGATTTATTTGTTGACTATATTTAGTATTGATCTGAATCTAAAAAGTAACTAGTAAATAAAGTTGTCTGATGTAGTTGTTTCTCTGTAAAATAGCAAAAAAACTGTTTTAAATACTCAAGTAATGTACAAGCACCTTAATATTGTACTTGTACAAAACATCAGCAGATACTAGATAGTTACTTTGCACCACCTGAAACAGGTTGCACTATTAGATTACAGACTTTGAAATGCATTTTTACTAAAGTCCACTTTAGTAACTTTTAATCTATAAAGTAAAAAGAGAATTTATCTCCTATGTGAATGAACTATGGCACTTTTTGATGTTAATGCAACAATAAGTGAAAGAAGCCCCAAAACAGTTAATGCCCGAGGCACATAATATTTGGTTAAGCACTACTGTAGGTGACTGAAGAAATGATAAAAACACAATATTCTCAGATATAACAATGTCCTGAAAGAGTTACAATGTCCTGAAAGAGTTAGACTCTTGCTGACAGGACAATGTGTAAATATTATGTGCTTTTATGAAGACATACACTATACTGCCAAAAGTATTCGCTCGCCTGCCTTCACATGCAAATGAACTTGACTAACGACTGATTCTTAATCCATGGGGTTTAATATGATATTGGCCCACCCGTTGCAGTTACGAGTATGTTAATGGTAATTTTTGACCATTCTTCCAGAAGCGCATTTGTGAGGTTAGACACTGATGTTGGACGAGAAGGCCTGGATCACAGTCTCCGCTCTAATTCATCCCAAAGGTGTTCTATCAGGTTGAGGTCAGGACTCTGTGCAGGCCAGTCAAGTTCTTCCATATCAAACCCACTCATCCATGTCTTTATGGACCTTGCTTTGTGCACTGGTGCACAGTCATGTTGGAACAGGAACGGGCCATCCCCAAACTGTTCCCACAAAGCTGGGATCATGAAATTGTCCAAAATGTCTTGGTATGCTGATGGATTAAGAGTTCCTTTCACTGGAACTAAGGGGCCAAGCCCAACCCCTGGAAAGCAACGCCACATCATAATCCCCCCTCCACCAAACTTTACACTTGGCACAATGCATTCAGACAAGTATCGTTCTCCTGGCAACCGCCAAACCCAGACTTGTCCATGGGATTGCCAGACAGAAAAGCGATTCGTCACTCCAGAGAACACGTCTCCACCGCTCTAGAGTCCAGTGGTGGCGTGCTTTACACCACTGCATCCGATGCTTTGCATTGCACTTGGTGATGTAAGGCTTGGATGCAGCTGCTCGACCATGGAACCCAATTCCATGAAGCTCTCTACACACTGTTCTTGAGCTAATCTGAAGGCCACATGAAGTTTGGAGGCCTGTAGCTACTGACTCTGGAGAAAGTTGGTGACCTGTGTGCGCTATGTGTCTCAGCATCCGCTGACCTGGCTCTGTGATTTTACATGGCCTACCACTTCATGGCTGAGTTGCTGTCATTCCCAATCACTTCCACTTTGTTATTACATCACTAACAGTTGACTGTGGAAGATTTAGTAGCGAGGAAATGTCACGACTGGACTTATTGCACAGGTGGCATCCTATCACGGTACCATGCTGGAGTTCACTGAGCTCTTGAGAGTGACCCATTCTTTCACAAATGTTTGTAGAGGCGGTCTGCATGCCTAGGTGTTTGATTATATACACCTGTAACCATGGAAGTGGTTGGAACACCTGAATTCAATGGATGGGTGAGTGAATACTTTTGGCAGTGTAGTGCATTTCAAACATTCTGAAATATTTCAGCATAGCAAGTAACTCGTTTTGCTGTTCAAGTGTGGTCAGTCAATATTTTTCACATCTTGTCATGAAACTTCACCAGCGGTTCCCAAAAGACGACTCCCCCGGCCCAAAGTTCCTGTTTCTCCGGTAGCGCTTCATCTCCTCCAGCTCCGAGGGCCTGAGGCTCTGGTCGACCCCTGGTGTGAGCTTGTAGCTCAGAGGTGAGACAATGTACCCGTTGCGGTAAAGGCAAACTTGTTTACACATCTCAAAGCATGTGTAAAGAAGGCCAAAGTAGGGAACAATCTACAAAGCAAGAGGTTGAGAGACAAAGGTGAGTGTATTTCACTGCAATTCCAACACTTTTAAATCAATGACCTCAATCATTCGACTGAAAGGCTGTGATCTTGGCTTAGGTATTTAAAAAGCTTATTGCGTTTGAATGAACCTTGTTTTCATTCAAACTGATATTTTGGTATAAACAGCTGAGGTAAAACAACACACAACTATGATGACATATGCAACTGAAACAGGAGAGTGGCACATGCTGCTCCAGAGACAGACTTTGCTCACCTTGTTCATGCTATAAATTAAACAATAAACATTGCTTTCCATGCCACTCCTGCTTATACATAGGCCATAAGTTACAATCCTTTCACCGTCATAAAGATACTCATGTTCCTAAGCACATGCAGTTACTTCTGTTCCTGTTACTTGTGACTGATCCATATGAAAGACAAAGCCTGAGATAACAACAAGTCATTACAAATCTATAAATAAACTGTACTTTAATGGTGTTGGCGGTAAGGCCATTCCACAGCGAGAGGACACCCTTGTTTCTAACCACCTGTAGGAAACAGTCAGTCATTCCATTGAAATGGACGTCAACTCCACCAAAATGGGGAAGCTGGCCACTCTGCGCCTGAGAGAGGAGTGAAAATGAGTCAGGAAGGTGTCACAAAGTGTCACTGAAGTCATCACCAGACAGAACATCATGGATTTTTGTTTGTGATGTAATTTAGTTAATCATATTTCTCAGCAGTCTTTTGCCTTTGAAGTAGTGCAGTAAATGAAAAGTGACTCTGAAGTCATTATTTGGTGTAAGATTCCAGATCCGTGATCAGTTGGTGCTTGAACAACTGTAAGATACCTGTCACTGGGGTGCCTATCTTATCGTAGTAATTATAAAACAACAACAAAAATTGCAAATGTGGTATTAAGCCTTGACACTTTATGAAGAGATATACTGTATAAATATGCTAATATGATAAAAGTATTTTTTTAAAAAGCTCAAGTCTGTCAGTGTGAAACTGTCCTGTACTTGTGTGGGAACCACACTGCGACCCTAAAGCCTGACTCATGTGAGAGAGGAAATGCATCTTTATAAATTTCAAACCTCCCAAAGGGAACATGCAGCTAAAAAGGAATGTGAAAGTTCAAGCCGCTTCATTTGAAGAGGAAATGTCAAACTAGCCAGTGAGTCCAACAATACCTACTGTAGCTTAAATCATTACCCTAGGCTTCATCATCTATTTGCTGCCTTAATATTTAACTATAGGCTAGAAACTAGAGCTGAAGGCCAAACTTAAATAGATAATTAATATTATTCTCTATTGTACAGTGTCATAGTTGTGATAAGCTGGAAAACAACTTTCAGCTTGTTTGCTGTCTGATAGCTACTGACTATCTTTAGAGAACTTATCCATAGCTCCTGCAGACCCAGGACACATTCACATTCCCAGCTACCACTGAACCATGTGATAGCTAATAATAGGCTGATAAAACCGGATGTAGTATTCTGTCCTTTACAGTGCCATTGTTCCCTGTGTGTCCTTCTTAACACGCAGAACGCATGTCAGACTTGATTTAAAGGGAACAGAGCAGACTGGTATGTCAGCTGACATAAAGAAATAGTCCTGACACTGAAATCCTAGTGATACTTATCTGATTAAAAAATTTAACACCTTCCAATATTCATAAACATTTCTGAGTGACCGTGTGTGGCCAGCCTGCATTTAGGTAAACCCACACTGCCCCCTTATGGACTACAAGTAGTAATGCAGCCAGTATACAGGACCTACTATATTGTACACTTGTGTTAGTTCTTTTCTAACTGGTGTATGTAAGAAAAAATGATAGAGATAGATACATTTAAAGAGGATCAGTTTATTTAAAGGAAAGATTTGTCAAACTATTTCCAGTACCACCCCTGTGCAGGTGATTACAGTAGAGAAAACCCTAGAAATCTTCTTTAAAAGATTATAAAAACAACTAATTACCAAGATGTTAGTTAACCAAGAGTCTAATGACTATTAGTTGACTGATTAACCCATGCACCTATGTCAAACTTTGATATCTATTCATTTGTTTTAGCTTTTTTCCTCTAATCAAACTGCTTCACTTCTCCTAAAAATCATAGCCCACATGCAGAACAGATGTTCTACCAACTTACCTGCATCTTCCTTTTCACTGTTTCAAAAGGGTACGAGAGGGTTTGAGCCACTCCTGCTGCAAGGCAGCCATTAATGAAGTTCTGCAGGGGGGTGAAGCGAAAAGGAGGCTCCTGCCACAGCTTGTCCAAGCTCATGTAGACTGCATAGCATCCAACAGAAAAGGGAAATGCACCTATAAACACATGAAATACAACAGAAGGTACAGTCTGATGCACTATTGATGAAATGTGAGTAGCAAATGTTGGGAAGACTGTAGACAAAAACTCCCATGATGAGAAACAAAATGCCTTTAATAATGTGTGGATATTTTAATCACTAGACCACCAGAACCACATGGAGCATTAAGGTCTGATATCTAACACCAGCCACAGGAAATGAATTTATTTGTATGAATATGCATACACACACCCAAGACAGTGAGGGAAAAGCCTCTGTAGAGAGTTAGGAGCCCTTCATTCCTGTAAATCTTTGTGAGAGTGTGAACTACGCCGATGTACGTGGGCTGTCTGCAGTTCTGAATGACGAGCCTGGTCTCCACCACCTCCAGAGGATATGTGACCAGGGCAGCAGCAACACCAGCCAGTCCACCGGCAAATATGGCTCTCCACCGAGAGATGAAACCCAGTTCATCCATGTGAAGGTGAACGATCCTGCACACAGAAGAAGTCATCATTAATAACACTTCAGTTAGGTCTTACACTAATCAAGTAATTGGTTCTCACATATGTCATTGTATTTTGACTAAATCACTTGACAGGTCGTTAGCAATTCCTCTCTGTGATTTTTTTTTTGGTTCATTTTAACAGACAATCACTTGATTAGTCAATAAACAAAATCAATTTTTACTAAGCAAAATAATTTGTGAAGCAAACAAAGCCTAACACTTCTTGAATTCAGCTTCTCAAATGTGAGAATCTTCTGTTTGATATCAACTGAATTAGGGCTGAAACAAACTCTTATCCTCATTATTGCTTAATCTGACAGTGATATTTGATAATGTGTGATTCACTGTTTAGTCATAGAGATGTCAACAATTTGTGAAAAATGCCAAGCACAATTTCCAAAACCCCAAACTATTAAATTTATAACAGAAATTTGAGAAAATACGTCAGAACATTTGAGAATCAGAATATTTTGAATTTGTCCATGATACAAGACTTAAGCTATTAATCAATTGTCAGAACTGACCATTAATTTTCTGTCAGTTGGTTGATCTATTAATCAACTAAACATTTCAGCCCCAAACTGAAAGTGTGACAATGCTGGTTGAACAGAACAACAAATTGTGAGATGTCACTTTTGGTTCTGGAAAAATGTGATGGGCATTGAAGATATTTTCAATTTTAGCCAAGATAATTCATAACTTAACCCACCAAAAATTATGGATAAATAGTCAATAAAAAAAATAATTAGGTGCAGCCCTAATTCATTGTATTTATAACTACCTTGCTGATTAGTTTTTACATGTATCACATTGTGTTCTGTTCTATGGGAGCTAATTAATAAACATTAAATCCCTCACCTGTTATTATCAAACACTTATTATCAAGCAGATAAACAATTCGGGGCATGTGTGTGACAAAGGTGTAGAAAGGGCCTTCTTTTCCAGGAACACAGTGTACAAAACAGGACAGTGGTTTGCACTGTCAGAGTGGGGTGACCGTGTTTACATGCATATGTGTCCTGAAATGTGAGTGGAGGCACACTGACTGTAGTAGATTCACTACAGTCCATAGACAGTAGAAACTGTATTTATGACTGTGCTTTGTATTACTGTTGTCACACCATGCATGTTTATTATCAGCCATAGGCATTGTAGCATGTTTTACCCTGTAGTAACCCCACAGATGTACTGCAATTGTGTGCCTAGAGTGCAGCCTTGCAGGCAGAACTTCCTCTCATGTTGAGTATGACTATTGACTTTTCCCCCTCAAGCCATGGTCCTAACTGCAACTAAACTAAAGCTGTAACAATCTGTCAATTACATGATTGGTCAATACACAAAAATAATAATCACCAACTATTTTAATGATTGATAAATATAGTTTTTCTTTTTAAAAAGTCAGTTTCTCAAACATGAATATTTTCTTGTTTTCTATGTTAGTGACCTCAATATCTTTGGGCTATTTAACTGTTTATCATGAAAAAAAAGACATATTTTGATGTTTTACAGACTAAATTATTTGAGACAAATGGTTTGTTGGAAGTCTAAATTAAACATGCACTATGAATGAGTTAAAAACAATAGTTTATCACAACAAGTGCTCAAAACCAAAGCTGTCATATTCAGACCAACAGTCCAAACACAAAAATTTCTAATTTACTTTCAGAGATAAAGAAAAGATTAGTTTACTATCACAGAAGACATACATTTCATTTTTGTTTTGGAGGGAATCCTCAGAAGCTTAAGGAGATTATTCTTTAATAAGTAAATAATCACCCCTAAGAAAATTTTTGACATTTTTGCTTTAAAAAAAAAAGCCCCAACATATTAGTCTTTAATTAAAATTAAAAAAGATTAGCCTATTGATAAGTCAAGCAATAGAAAAAAACAACACCTATTTTGAAAAATGATTAATCAAATTCCACACTTTCCAGTCTCCACTTCTAAATTGTGAGGATTTTCTGCTTTTCTTCAGTCTGGTGTTGGACTGTTGTTCAGACAAAACACAGCATCTGAACTGATATATCAAGTAAATAAACTGTAGACTAATCAGCAGTGACTGATAACTGTTATTTGCCTTAAATAAAATAGTAAATTTCTTTTGGCTGTCTAATGGTTTCAGCTGTATCGCCTGAGCAAATCGACTGAGCAAATCCAGCCGTCTGATTGGCTGACAATAGAAGGCTCGCTTCCGTGAATAAAACAGGAAGTAAGCGTTTAGCAACACGGATGAAAATAAAGCTGACTTGTTTAACAAGCCCTTTTGATATTTTATCATGTTAAACATTAAACAGCTAACATGAAGACGTTTTATGCCTACCGATTTTAAGCTATGCTATCTATTGTTTTAAACTGTTCGCCACATTAACGCTAAATCAACATCAACTGACCAAGTTGGCTAACAGGCTGATTTAGCATAAACACTGCACAAATCTGCAAATGCAAAAATCCACGAGGTGTCATTTTGTAGATACATTGTGAGAAAAACGATTTGGCCCAAACTTTGATTCAACTTTACTTACCGGAAACAAGAGGCAAAGTTTCCTTTCCAAAATCCTCTAAGTCCCTCATTCTGGTATATGAGAACAAAACCTTTCCAGAAACCACTTTTGCAGTGAAAAGTACCCACCTGGCTTTTGATTTTTACCACCTCTAAAGGCGACGTAACGGTTTTACTGAAAAAACCCGCAAAACCGACGCACACAAAGCTTTGAGAACTGGTCAGCCTGTTGTCTTTTTTAACTAAGGCCATCGCTGTTTGGCCTGACGCTAAAGTGTCCAGGTCCGATGATAATTCAATTTATCTGAGCAACAGGAAAGGCCCTGTTTATCTAGATTAGACATCTAAACATAGGTCTCCAACTCCTGTCCTTCCCAGCGATGACGTGTGAATTTACGTCACTCTGACAAGAGTTGGACTGATAATAATGTACACTAGAGGGCGCTCTTTGACCTAGTTTTAAAACCATGTCAAACAGTTGTGGAGGTATTCTTACCCCTTTAGTTAAATAGTGTCAGTACAACATAAACATAAAAATACTAGGGTAAAAGAAAGGTATTAACAGCAACATAAGTGTTCAAAAGTAAAGCAGATAAACAGAATGGTCCTTCCACCGTGTTAGTTTATAATATATGGGCTAATAGTAGGTCCTGTACAAGCAAGCAGCATTTTGACAGTGTGCAGGACAAGAAGGAGCCAGTTTCAGCTGTTTTAATATCATAGATTGTTAATAAATAGAGTCACAACAAAGAAAACTGGCTATAAGTAAGATCCTAATTTTTGACATGTAGTGAACACAGTTATTAAAAAGCCATTTTCATATGGATAGTGTAGCTGCACACCAGTCAATACAGTGGACAGCTCTTGAAAACACTATAGTAAGCCACTTAATGGCAAGAGTCTGTCCAGATAAAACCCCAACATGCAAGATGGTTGATGGAATCTCAGGTATGTCAAGCACCTCAGGAACATCCCACACCTTCTATAGAGTAAGGCTCTTGCAGGTAAAAACAATATAGTGATATCTAGTCAAATCTGAGGAACAGTATTATATTTCTCAGATTTTGATTTTGTATAAGCAGAAAGTTACAGTTAAACGTGCGTCCAATGAAGTGGATATCATCATTAAGTATTTGCATAAAGTGGCATAAATTGTCAGTATTCATGTACCTTAGGACAGTAGGACACAAATACAAAAGTACAGAAGAAATGAATTTTAAAATATCTACTACAACTTTCAAATAGCTGATTAAGTTGGAATTTATAGCTTACAAATGTATAATTATAATTTAAATCTTCAGCGGAATAGGTGGCATTCAGGCATGTTTTCTATTTAATTCAGACTGTATGCTTATCCTATGTTAAAGATTATTAATCTCAGACAAATTTGACCTCATGCTAATAGTAGCAGTACTATGACTCCACAGGGTCCCAAAACCTTTAGCATTTAAGTCAAGTCAGAAGATCATTAGTGGGTCACAGCACCTAACTTTAGAATATGATTTGGTTTAATTCAATCTTTTTTTTCTATTAAAGGTTTTCAGCACTAGTACATAAGTGTTTCAAATTTGTAGGATTATACATATTAAAAGAAAAATATTTTTACTCCAATACACTCAGACATGTGCAGTCACTCGTATGTGCTTCTTCAGTAAATAATAACCAGCAAAGTAGTTAAATTAAATTATTCCTCATGTTCAGATAACCCCATACTCTCAGGCCCCTGCACTTGGGAACCACTTTTGGCACAGCAGTCCAACTTTTTGATTTGATTTCATGGCAACTGGAGTGTAATGAGCTGTAAGTATTACTGACACAGAAGTAAGATTGGTTTTGTTCAAACAAAAAATATAAAAGTGAGCAGTGTGGACACTACAGATCTTAGTTTAATGCACAGTGAAGGATTCACTGTTATCTCTTTTTAGAATTATAAATGCTGACCTCTCTTTATGGTTTCTTAAAGCAGTATCTGTTGAGTGAAAATGACCAGTAAGTGTAAATATATCATTATGTTTACTAGTATAGATTCTACCAAACATCTGCATAAGAGCCTAACTGCAAGCTATTCTGTGTTCTTGCACTTTAACAAGTTGATGAGGATAACACTTAATCACAAATCTACCAGTACTTTAATGTACTCAAAATGTGTTTTAAGTGATATTCTTGCCTCTGTAATGAGAATTGATTTCAAACAACTAATATACGATGTTATAGTCATACCAGAGTGCTTGACATTTAGTTGTTTTTATTCAAGCTGTCCTTTCTATGCGGACCCTCAATGATCTTGTGCCAACATGTGCAGTGAAGTTGTCAACACATTCCTGTAGCAGTCAGCTAAATCTTTTTTCTTTCATCCAACCAAGAGGTTAAGTATGGATTAATTTACTGTATAACTGTGTTTATCAGCAGGCATGTGTTGTCACTGTTTTGTTCCAGTACCGTGTTTGTTTTCTCCTTGTCTTGCCCTGCCAGGAGCACCTTCCTCCCCTGCTGGGCTGACAACCTCAGATGCATGCGAGGAGGTCACCTTCTGTCTGTGGATGGACCACTTGGCTCCTTCACAAAGGCTTTCTGGAATAACAGAACCAACCAGAGGAAATGACAGCCTGATCACAAGAAGTCCCCCAGCTGCCTACTGTGGGGGTGTGTGTCTCTGTGTGTGAATGGGAAACTGGCTTTCACCTCTGAGAACCAATTTTGATGTGGTGAAGGTGGTTGCAGAGCTTATTACAGCTCTGAGATGTGCAGACATTGCAGTTATAATTTATACTAGCTATCCAGGAACTATGATGCTGTTTTAAAGTTCAGGGGTATTTGAATTGTGTCAGTACATTTCTGAGACTGGATCAGTGTGGAAAAAGGAGCTAGAGTATTTAATATTTCAAACTGAAGAATGCCACAGTAGGGATGTGTTATATATTAGTAAATCAGTCAGATAATTATTAGACATTAATGTGTTGAATTAAATGTATTAGTAATGCAGTTTAGTAAGATTCAAAGTCTGCTCTAGTCTGCTCTGTTTCAAGGTTGACAGATAGAAGGTTGATTCTGAAAAGTGAATCATGACACCAATTGTTTTCTTGTATTAAATCTTGTGTTAGAATATTATGTCTGAATGAATGCCTTACCTAAGCACCACGTGACAACACACACACACATTGAAATTCCTCATTTTGTTATGACTAGTGGCTCCATGCAGCTGGAGCACTAGATAAGAGATGGAGTCTGTGCACTGACTTAATCTGTGTAAGGAGCTAGCCCAAAACTTATAAATGTATTAGGCTCTGTGTTTCCAGGGTTTTTCCTTTTTTTTCCAGCAGCCTGCATAGGGATGCCTGGAAGGGGAAGCCACCTGGGTTGTGTTTTGTAATTTTACTTGTGGTTTAAAATAAATCAGCACTAAAATGAAGAAACACGGACTCCTTCGTTATTCAGATCTGTCCGATAAAAGAACTGGGGTACTACAGATGCATTTTTTTAAAGAACCCACTTTGTAAATTCTTTGATCTCACTGTTATGTGTAACTTGTAATACCCAAGATAATGGGATAGGTTTCTTTAAAGATAAGTGGTGTGACATGGACTTGTGTTGTATCTTATCAATTAATGCTTCAGCAATCACCAAGAATCTGTTGCCATTCTGTCTCCTCTGCTGTCCTCCCTCTGCTCACCAGTATTTGTATAGACCACTGTCTTCTTCCTGTATGTATAGCCCCTTCCTGAATGAACACTTCCTACATGCAACAAAGTAGTGCGGGAGCACCCTGCGTGCCTTTGTGTCTCTGGGACTGGCACGTAGCAGTAGGTGTAGGCTGGCTGAGACATTGTCATTCTCTGGATGTCATGCGCAAGTCAACCCTTGATCTCCCACTTTGAAGTGCGTTACTGGAGGACGCAAGAGAGCGGTATCTGTGTATCTGGAGTGAGTTCAGTCAACAGAGGGCGCCTGATACCAGAGAGGCCTGAGCGGCTGTCATCCTCACAGACTGGTGCCAGGCTCACAGACTGCTGCAATAAAATTCTCACCTCATTATCAAAGTCTGTGTGTATGTGAGTGTGCCTTTTTTTTAAGGGTGGGGGTGTATTAGTGAGAAAAATCAGGCATAAGTACAACTCACCGTGGCACCATGTTGACACCTCTATCAACAAGGCCCAGGTCAAACTCCCCACCCCACTTAAGAGGAATGATAGACTTGTTATGCATAGGAGCCTAATTTTACATTAATGGTCTCTGTGATGGGTTAAACTGTGAAAGGCTGTTAAGGTTTGTTAGGAATAATAAATGCAATTTGGCACCTCATTACAGGGAAGGATCACAGTTATCTCAGGCCTGCAGACCTGCAAGTGTGCTGAAATACAATATATAAAGTGTAAAACCTGTGATCAAGGTGTGGAGTTAATTTGTTTAATAATTCCAAAGTATTGATCTATTGTAATGTGAGATTAATATTACACTAATTTCCATCTGTTTCAAGGGGGTTTCGCATATTTTGTAGCTTTTTTCTAAATAGCATTGGGGATTAAAAGAACATATATTTGTCATTTTTAAAGACAATTCAAATTGGAATTTGCGCAAAAATCTTTTGTAAAAACCTTTCAAATTTAGTCAGGATGTAGATGAACAGGAGGCCAGTCTGGCAGCTGGTGTCCCCTTATCTTTCTATGTACAGCCAATAAATCAATATCAAATCTAAGGAAGAGGAAGCCAGATGGCCTTTCCACAGCCCACTAGGCCAGGGCACTCTCAGGGTCTCCTTGGCTACTGTACCACCAGTGCATGCAGCAGCCCTTTGAAGACATACACATTCAACAAGCAGCTCAATGAATGACTAAAGGGAACAAATAAGCTGTTAGGACTCTGCTCAAATCAGTGTTTGTGTTTCCATCCACATCAAAGGCCCCAGTCTGTTTGATATGCAGCCTCCACACCTTGGTCTGATCCATGTACAGGTAGCAAGGAGGAGCAGTCCATTGAGGAGAGACAGAGAGTCATGTGGTTGCTTCTCTCAGCCTCTAGCTCGAGGGGCAGTCGACCCAGACGAATGGTCTGGTGGTGTAGCATGTTCCCCAGGGAGCTACTGCTCCTTACACCCATCACAAGACACATTATTTATTGGGTGGCCTATTGATTACATGTTTTTAAAGGATATTTGCAGAATTTTGGAGCAGTAATTACGCAATCAGATACGTCTTGCATTTTGAGATCAAATTATTATAACGCTAACTTAGTACATTTACCTGAAAGACAGGGTTTGAGGACTGTCTAGCTGCTGGCTTGAAGTAAGGTCAGTGAGGTCAGTTACCTAAATATATCCCGCCAGACTCATCTTGATTTTTGTGTAGGCCAGGGGTCAGGTTAAACAGTAGTTTGATTGAATGGTTGTTCACAGGCCAGTGTGAAATGCCAGCTCTATTGCAACGTGGGAGAGGGAAGGAGGGGGTTCCTCTGGCCTTTGTGTGGCCCATGGTCTTAGAGTACGGAACCATTGTTCGAGGCTGACCAGTCAGCCCCTCAGACTCTCCTTTGCCTTGCTTTGTCTCAAGCAGTGTGACCATTTCCTTCATCCAGGTCAGGGCAGGGTCGTGACTTTGGACACCAGTCTTCCCTGACTCTGTCTAGCCAGTATACTCATAAATATATGTAGCACAGAGACAGATGTGCTGCTGCCACATGTCAGTGTTACAGATGTAGCTGTGCTGGAGAAAGTCTGACCTCTTTGGACAAAGATAATAATCAGGTGTAATCCTAAATCAAATTCACATATTCATGAAACCAAACCTGTATCATTAAAAATGATCAAGTGAAACTGACATGGTACTGACACGGTAGACCGTTAAATTGTAAGTCATCACACATTTATGATTAAAATAATTTGCACAGTGCAAAATATACCACTTGTACATTTTGCGAGCATGTAAACCACGCTACCACACAAACGGAGCTGAGTGTCCAAGTTAAGCAGCTGTGGAGGTTTAGAAAAGTGGACCTCTGTCCTGAGGCTGGACCTGCCTTATCAAGGCCTGACCATCATGGTGATAAGAGGAGGAAAGACCAAGGGGCCAAAAGGAACAGTGTGCATGGTTCAGGTCAACAGTGTGAGGACACTGGACTCAAAGGGGAGGGGAGGTGGACAAGAATATTATCTGATAAGAATCAACAAGGTCTTTTGATCTCAGAGGGGCTGATCCTGGGATACAGGGTGTCATGCTGGGTGGACGAGCAGAATGACACAGCAGGTACAAACAAGCAAGTCCTTGAAAGCATATTTACACAGGGAAAAGTGAAAAGACATAAACACATATAAGCATATTGTCTTCAGTATTTCACCCCATAATAGCATTTAAGTTTTTTGATAATGCCTCAATTTCTCATAAAGTTAAGTGACCAGCTCATTTCTGGCTAATAATATAATATGAAATAAACAAAACAGTTTTATGGTGCTGCAGATCTATAATCAGACAATAAATTCAAAATCCACAAATAACTGTCAGTCCACTGAAAAGAAACTTGACTGTCACAGTGTGCTCTGCTGGGTTTTGTCTCGTGAGTCACCAATTAAAAGTTGTCGTGCAGTGGCCAGACAGGGCCTGGGGTGGCAGTGCGAGCTGTGGCCTGAACCAAACGCTTCGCTGTCTCATCCAGGGCAAGAAGGAGGAGGGATTTTCCTGTCTGGAGTGGCCACGGGGGAGTTTGCATGCAAGCTGCTGCAAGTGTCATTGGCTTCCCCTTAGCAACAGCTAAAAACAAAAGAGCAGAAACATGCACTTGTCTGTAGCCTCTCTTTTACAAAACATTGTTAAGACGCAGTACCTGAAAGAAAATGGGCAAGGTTAATGATATTCTCTACTCTAAAAAATGTCAATAAAATCCATATAAGGACCATCTTTGTCTGTGCAGCCAAAGTCCTCTGTGCCATATATTGTCACTGCTTTCTAGAAACTATTAAAAATACATAAATGAATCCAATTATCGCGCTGGCTGAGACATTTCTTCATCACACTGAATGTGGACGTTGTAGTTCCTTTTCAGTCAATCCAACACACACCAGCCTGCTACAGTAAATCCTCAGCAGAGCAACAGATGTGCATCAGTCTGCAGCTGAAAATGGCCAGCTGTTTTAGGAATTTGTCTTTGTTTATCATGAAAGTACACTTTTGCAACCAGTTTTAAAAATTTCAATTTTTAGTGAGTCAGAAACTTTTGTGAGGTTATTTTTAGATAAAACCACTGAGCTCTGCCCCATTTTTTTTTATTATAACAAACATTTTCTGCACAACATTAAAATGAGGCTTCTTTCAAATTTGTCCTCAGGTCACATCAAACCAACAGTGACGACAAAGTGTCAGCAACCTGCTACATCCACACTCCAGTTAAAAGAATTAAGATGTAAGGGGCCTTCATTATCAGCTCTCTCTGAAGGACATCAAAGGCTGCGATGGAGTGACAGTGCAGCTGCCCTGACGGTGTGAGTTTCTCCTCTCTCACTCCAGAGGAACTTGTTTGTGTTGAGGATGTTTACTGATCCCAGGAAAGACAAACTGCTTCTTTCTTGTCTGTAGGTCCCAAAGCTCAAATACAGAGTTTTGTGTGTGTGTGTGTGTGTGTGTGTGTGCACGCGAGAGAAATAAACCTTATTGTTAGGCCAGTGTTTATCTTGTCTGTCTCTTCAATCCATTTCCACGTTTCCCATCATAAACCAAACAAATTCAGTGCTGTGCAATTCAATCTGCCAAAAAACAAGCAAAGTAATCAGCAGTTACACACACACACAATGATTTCTATGTAAAATATATTTAGTCAGCAAATAGTGATTGGAAATTCAGATTACGACATGATAAATGATGGTTTCAAATTCTTCATCCAAATCAGAAACTCATTCTTTTTCATGTGTGATCAATCAACCAACAACAAAACAACTCTGAATCTGTAGTATACCTATTTTACTGTATATGTAACCAACAATTTCTAAGAGTAACTAAGATACGATCAACACATTGTGTCACTCTTTCTCATCAGTGCTAATCATCATTAGAGGCTGCCTTCAGACCTCTGTCCAAATGTTTATTAGTTCATTTATAATATAACTTGGCAAAATACATCGAACTCTGGCAGTGAGAAGTGTCACCATGAAATATAAGCATGGTTATGAGATTTGTTTGGCGTTACAGTTCTCTGGATTTTTTAGGTCTATGCACATTTTTGTGGTTGAACAAAAGGTGCCAGAATGTCTGAGTGTTTTACATTTTCCTTAAGTCTTTGTCTGATTTGACATTCAAACTTATTTTGTTGTAAAGATAACATTTTTTATTTTAGGTAATTGTTTTCATTTCTGACAGCTAATGAAATTCTCCACTAACTTTTGATTCAAGACAAGGCAAGAAAGTGGGTCTCATTAAACTTAACTTAGCCCATAATTTATACTGAGGAGATAAGTAGTCTTGCTCTCTGGATTTCTCAGGAAATACAGACCAATCTGTATTCCCAATTGTTAAATGTTGCTAATGTACTGAGGTTTCCTACCACAGCTATAAATCCTGGGGGAAACAGGCTTTCACAGAGAGGTTTTATGGCAGAGAGACTTCCCTTCCATTCTGCAGGGGGTATGGTGCTTTACACCGTGTGCTTACATGTCACAGTCCTTTTAACTAGCACTGTTACAAGGCTTATATTTTCCTGGTCAGCATCACCCTAACAGCTGCCGTGATAAGACAGATACAGACAGACACTGGACATTTGTACACAGGCAAATCTGGATACACCTATCAATTACTTTCGTCGATAAAATAACAAAAAATAGACAAAATGGCCACATTTATTCCATGAAGCCCAAATGAATATTCAAATAGTTTTGTCTTACCAACAGTGGCAAGATAAGATGCTGAGTTTTCTTAGCAAATATTCACATTTGAGAAGCTGATACCACTGAATTTTTGGCATCTTTGATTGAAAGGGAACTCAAACTATCAGCCAGTTATCAATATTGATGCCAATTAAAATTTGTTAATTGATTGATCAGGTAATCATTTCTGCTGTAGTTGTTTTCTAGGTGTGTAGGGACATAATGAGACACTGGGGTCAACAGGGGCCACAAAGCAATTATATGCCCTGGGGTCCCCTCTGAGGTTAATGTGGCCATGAAAATGGAAATACTCAAGTAAAGTACAAACACCTATTATTCCACAGTTCTTGAGTAAAAGTGCTTGGGTACATTCCACCACTGCCTTTTTCCTGAGCTTACGTTTTCTACTTACATGTAGCTCTAAGTAAATTATCCTTCACCACTGATTTATTGAACGAAAAACACGCCACAGTATTAGGGCTAAGTTACGGTAGCTATAAAGTGCCTCCTGTGTGCAGCGCGTCCACCTGCCTGCACCTCTTCCTGAACGTCTTTTGGTTTATCAGTACGTTTGCTCGAAACTGGGAAAGACGCCCAGCTTCCGCCTGTAGGTAGAACTCCAGCTGGGACAGCGGGCTGCGATAATTCAACCACAGCAATGCGGTTAAAATGACGGGACGTATCGGTGGTGTAGACGCTGGGCAGCGTTTGGCGGTTTTAATTCGCTCTTCTTCCTGGTTTACACCGAACTCGCTTTATTTTCGCCTGTGACAGGTTAGCTGCTTCCGGAAAACGACCTCCATACAGGTAAGACGAGTTTCGGTCTTCGACTTGGAAAAGTTCGGCCGGCCGTTCTTTAAAGTCTTTAAACACAGACTAAAGAACGCTATTTCAGACATTAAGGGGCGTAGCACGGCCGTGTTTTATGGTAAGATAGAAATGTTTTAGGGCATATTTGCGCCCACTGGCATAAAAGCGAGCTTACGTGGTGAAGGTGTGCAGCAGCGGGCGCTGTGAGCAGGTCATGTGCCGGAGGTGAAATCATGTCCTGCTCGGACTCTAGCTGTTGTTTTAACCGTGATACCCTCGATCTGGCTTGTTCCTATGGAGCCTAACCTTTATTACCCCCCCACCCTTTGCCATCTGGGTCTGTCACAGAGGTGTAGTGATTAGGACCAAACCAACAGCCATGGGCCCACGAGGGGGGACAGTGAGTTATTTATGGTCCCGGTTACAACACACCACAGGTAGGTTAGAATTACCCAGATCTTTTAATTGAGTAAACGTAGATAAGATGCCACAATAGCAAAAAATAGCCTAATCTATTACAAGCTTTCAACACATCACTTGATTAAACCTACAAAATTATTGACAGCAAAAGTGTCTAAAATATGAAAAGTACTAATTATGCAAAATGGCTCCAATCTGTAAAGTAATTATAGCTGTCATGTAAATGTAGTGAAGTAAAAAGTATATTATGTATGAAATGTGGAGTAGAAATATGAAGAAAATGAGCAGGGAGAGAATTAGGCTACATCACCTTCAGCCCTTTATGAAATGCAGTGGCCACCTTTTGAGTAAACAAAAAAAAGGGGTGGTGTTTGATATGTGCAGGTGAGCAGCTGTGCATTGTGAGGTTCAGAAACCACATGAATATAAGCTTGGAAGTCATGGTATTTTGAAGGCGAGACTGCTACCACATAGTACCAACAAGTCTGTGGTGAGGCTGAGAATCATGCGAGTTTGCTTGTACACACCTGTCAGAAGATGGAGTGGAAAACACTTAGGGGGGATGTGTTCCCTGTATGTAGTTATGCAGTGCAAATATTATTCATTTTATGTACAGCAGGGCACTCTGCATGTTATTGCTATAGCAGTTACTAAATGTTCAATTACAAAACAAATTGTACTTTAAATTTACTCTTGATAATGATAAGCAATGTGTAATCATTGCAGCCATAAACTGTAATACCTATGTATAATTTCTGTTGCTAATACCAGACAGTGGTGTAATGATGAGGCAGACATGACACAACTCCTGTCTCATGGACTGGACTAATTAATTGTCTGACATGGTCTCACCTGTGTTCACTGAGGGTGGGACAGCATATGTGACTCACTCATATCAACCATCATGTTGATACATGAGTGATTCTGCTGAGTTTTGAGGGAACGCCACCACAGGTCATCCTCTGGGAGACTGGAGGACCCAAACATTTCCCTCTAAAGCTCAGGTTGGCACATAATTACAAGGCATGTGATTGGGATAAGGTTTTGAAACAGTTGAATTTGTTAATCGTCTATTCAGAAAGTAATACAAACATCCCAAAGTCCAAATATAATCAGTTTAGAGCTGCAACTAAGACATATGTACAACATATTCAAATACACACAACACAGTATACAAAAATTCCATTCAGACTGCTGGTTTTGTCTGACTAAAAGTCCGATACCTAAATATATTACATTTATATTGATTTAACAACTGTTAAAAGCTGAAAATAGTGACAAGTGGTATACTGCAACTAAGGAATGTTTACCTTTTTTTTTTCTTGAAAATCAGCTGACTAAGTTCTTCAGCTCTTGTTGGTCCAGACAGTATTTCATGTGCAATGTCAGAAAGTAATGAGAAATATCAAAGTCGATATGACCTGTTCTCTCTGATCACAACACAAAATTTTGTTTACAGTGATCAAACAGAGAAGAGCAGCAAAGTTTGATAAATTGCTTCATGAGTAAAAAAATCAATCGCCAATACAATACAATAATTTTTTTCCATTTGCTCTAGCATTTAACATGGTGTATCCCAAGAAAGACAAGTGCCTTTATTGATTTCATGCTGTGTCCTTGAGAAACATAGTGATGCACCACTGTGCCACCTTCAGACGTAATGAACACAAGGTTACATGTTTTCCATCCTGACCTGGACTCTTTCAGTGAAAATGTGCTGCATCCTCAGTGAGACCCCGTGAGTGCTGTCTGTGGCTATCTCTGACTCCCAGCTCGTGCATGTCACTTGATCACAAAGCAAATAATACACATTAGGAATAATGCAATGGAAAAGTGCCTGTTGGACTTCATTAGTGTATTGTATTGTTTATGCATTGCTTCACATTCAGCCTGGTTGTTACTGTGCTTCTCTCCCTGTGCTACAGGATTCATGACCCCTATCCATTACAGGGTTTAGGTATCACTTATACAAAGAGAGAAAGAAGGCCTGTGTGACCTCAACCAGGGTGCATGTGTGTGGAAAGAAGTGTGCATACATATTTGCTATTAGGCTTGGGCGTTTGCAATCATTCATCTACTGAGAGTACTTTACCTGTGGTAGTGCAGCATCAGCAGTCTGAGCTCCCAACCCCATGAACACACACACACACACACACACACACACACACACACTGGCACTGACAGAAGCAGAAGGAACCCTTCTCCTTTCCCTCACTCTGCCTGGTTATACCAATTCCCCTAGGCATTCCTCACACCCGTGCAGTGGGAGCTCATACACATCTATGCTCATGCACACAAATATGTGTGTACACAGACATTACTGTGACGGGGTGCTGCTGGAGAGGCAGGGGTCTGGTTTCATTCATGCTTCGGGCAGCTGCTCGGTTAGAGTCTCGAGTTTGCGTGCAGAGGCTACTGGGCGCTTGACAACATGGATATCGTCTTGGGTGAGTCGCTCCATGGTAACAACACTGAAGATAAAGCATTCGTTTTGTGCCTGAAATCTGGACCGGCGTCACAAAGGGAAGGAAACTGGAGATCACAGTTCATTGTGGTGGCTTTTTTTTCTCCATATTTATTTGTGGTAATGTTCAAAAGGAACTTGTTTTAACTCGTTCCTATATTTAGGACAAAGACATGGATCTTAGGGTGGAAGCGCTGATGCTTTTTGCATTTCTGTGCCACTTCAAATGCCAAGTCGTCTGAAATCTTACAAGGTCAATTTTATAAGATCTAACTCGGTGTATGTAGTGGGATTCTTTAAATGCCACCTTTTTCTGTATGTTTATATGTGGAGTATGTAGCCAAAGGTTTCTCCAAAGAATGTGTTTGTAATCAGCACTCTCCATATGAGTAGGAATTAAAGCAGGTTAAGGATGGAGACCCCTGCCAATCGAGTGCAGTTTTTAGCCAGTTAAATCAAAATTCCTACTCTCGTGTAGCGCCAAGCCTTTGTTCTTTTCCATTAACAGGGGTTTTAGTCCGTTTTCTCTCACCTCATTTCACAGAGTTTAGCCTTTTCTGTGTGCGCACGCTGACTTTAAGCTGAGATGAGAATTCCTTTTGTCCCTGAGGAAGCCCTCTGAGAGGAAGCAGCTGTGGCTCGCTGCCATGTTGCTGCTGCTCTCTGGATTTGTCATTTCCTGTGGTGCTGGCCAGTGTGAAAAGTCCACTTTTTGCAGCAGATCTTATTGTGTTTTTCTCTCTCAACAGAAGTTCAAAATGAAGACACGGAGATAACATTGTTGTCTGTGGATCATTGTTCCACTTTCACTACTTGAATGGATTCAGCTTTGGGCATTCCCTCCCTTGTTAAATATACCAAACAGAGTGTATAAGGAGATAAGAGGACAAAGGTCTTTCCCAGAGTTTTGGACTGAGCTCTCTCAGCCAATGGCTAAAAAAGAACCAGCAGCAGCAGCAGCAGCACTGTGGCTTTGTCGTGGGCACGGATATGTAAAGAGTGTGGCCAGCAGCACGAGGGCCAGGACAGCCACCTGTACGAGTACCAGGATGAGGTGGACGATGAGCTGGTTTGCCACATCTGTCTGCAGCCACTGCTCAGACCTATGGACACCCCTTGTGGCCACACGTACTGTTTTCATTGCTTGAGCAACTTTTTAAAAGAGCAGGACTTTTGCCCTGTGGACCGGCAGCAGTTGCAGTTACACCAGTGCCGTCCCTCCAGCCTGCTGGTCAGGAACCTGCTGGACAAGCTGACTGTGATGTGCCCCAACTATGCAGAGTGCCAGCAGCAGATGCAGCGTGGTGAACTGCAGCCTCACCTACACAACAGGTAAAATTCTGTATTATGGTAAGTTTTGTGGATATTGATTTTCCTGGTAATAGCCATAGTTTGTTGTAGTAATGTAAAATCATAGTCGGAGGAAGACCATAAAGAATTGTTTATGTTGCAGCAGAGGGAAGCCACACATACTGTAGTACAGTGCAGACACAGACTTTTTCCTTGCACAATATACAGGCAAAGCATAGGTATAAGGTAGGGAGACAGTACATCAGTGTGGTTAGAGTAGAGTTCTGGATTTCATCAGTATGACAAGAGGCATGGGGGAGGACTTCCGCAGGGATTAATGGCTCAGCTTCAAATGAAGATCAAGGTACTGTATATCAGGGAAAAGCTATAAATACCTCCTGAGAGAGTACTAGTATTGAAAGAGAGTACCAGGCAGTGGGCATATGAACAAAGAAGTGAGCACAATAATAATTTGTAGCAATATAGAATACATGACAACTACATATTATTCACAGCTGAAGTACATTTTCCTCCACAAGTTTGTGGTAGTGAGACTTTGTCTAGTGTCATACTGATTTTTGTCTGGGGCGCTCAGTGGTGTTGAACTGAGCCTACCTACCACCCCATTAAAGGAATAGTTTGCAATTTGGGGGAATATGCTTGTTTCCTTTTTTGCTGAGAGTTGGATGAGAAGGTCAATATCATCAGTCAGTACCGCTTTCATGTCTGTAAGGTACATATGAAGCAACAACCAGGAGCTGGTGGGCTTAGCTTAGCATAAAGACTGAAAGCATTGGGAAGCAGCTAGCTTCACCTTTTGCTAGGTAATAAAATCCCTTATTAAAGCTCACTAATTCACAGTTTATATCTTATTGGTATATTTTGGTG